GTGGGGGTGTGTGTGTGGGTGTGTGTGTGGGTGGGTGTGTGTGTGTGTGTGTGTGTGTGTGTGTGTGTGTGTGTGTGTGTGTGTGTGAGAGTGTGTGCGTATGTGTGTGTGTGTCTACGAGAGTGTGTGTGTGTGTTTCATGCAAACTGTATTCAGATGTTTTCGGCAGCAGGATATCGTGAAAGAGCCACTGAGAGCAGAGTACATACACACACACACACAGAGAGAGAGAGAGAGAGACTCGCGCTGAGGAGAGTCCGGCAGTCAGTCTCGTTCCAGCATCAGTCGCGCATCATGGATCTGCGGCGCTCACACACTGCTGGAATGATTTTACCGCTCTATCTCATCTTTTACTTAATCACAGACTCCGTCAGCAAAGGTGAGTATCACGTTATTCATATTATTTGCAGTAATCTGAGGCGAAAAACGACTTTTTGTTGTTGCATTTGTGTCCGCGCGAGATCCGCTGACTGGAATAACGGCAGTAAGTTGCGGAGGAACTTTGCTTTGTGCCAACCGGATATTAAACGATTAATTTGGGCTATTTGATGTCGTTTCATGATGTTAGTTAATGTAGTTTATTATGTTATGTTTGGATGATGTATTAATATGTAATATGGCAGTTTGAGAGGGTAATTATTAATCCAACAGATAATGTGAAGGTGTTTTACGCATCGAAGGGGTTTGTGTGTAGGTTTTACGCATCGAGTTTATAGGATCCGGAATATTTGTTGTGTGCTTATTTATTTCAAATAGTGTCAAAATGAGCAGTTTTGTCTTGATTTAAGTGTCTATTACTATAGTGCACACAAACTCGTGTATTTCAAAGAGTCGGATGCGCGGCGCAACACTTGCACTGTTTCATGTCGCGTTTGTGTCAAATAGTGGATTAATTATCATCACAATCACGACTGTCAACTTATTCATAATAATATTTCATAATAATATCGATATTATGTACAGTAGGCTATTTAAGTAAGTCTATTAAGATATTAACAAAGCGTTTAAAAACATATAAATAATTAATGCGCAGGAGTTCAGGTGCTTAATTAAAGGTATCATGTGTCTTGTTTGATACACCGGGCGCGTGCGGCTCTTTGTGACGCCACAAAACGCTAACGCGACGCTCCTTCAGCTGACGCGCGACGCACTGCAGATCTACTATAGCTACTGAATTGTCTCCTCCAGTCTGAAATAAAATACTTCCCTGCTGAGAAAACCATAAAAACAAGCCTAGGATAGTTTTCCGCTCAGGTTGGTCTGGTTTGCTGGTTTTGAAGGGGTTTTGGGCGGTTTTTAGTTGTATGTAAGACTTGCTTGCCAACCATCTGAATAGCAGCTTGGCCAAATGTGCAAAATTGTTCCCCTGTTTTACGAAAGTCACCTTTTAAACTAGAGTTCAAAATAAAGAATGGACTTTTTTTGGGTGTCTGGACCTTTTATTAAGTGTCACTTTATCACATTGTGCTTGTATCTGGTATGAGACGGGAATGATTGACATGATTGACTGTCTTTCTGATTGACAGGTGAAGTGACCAATCACAGTCTTGTATTTGTGTTGAGGGGCGGATTTATCTGAACCACACATTTTTGGTTTTCTCAGAAGCAGAAATCATCATAGCTGGGTAAACTAGTGGTTAACGGAAACAACAAATATAAATTTCATCTAATGGCAAAAGAAAAAAATCCATGATAGCATTTCTATGACTTTACAAAATAAATAAAAAAGTATGGAAAGATTGATTACGTTGGTTAAAATAGAAAAATATATCAAATTTGCCATCACTTTCAGCCGTTGTATTAGAAACAATCATACAGCAGCATTAACTAGTTTTCTGAAATTTAATGCCAATGTAATTTAATACAAAATATAGTGTTGTAAATGTGCATTACATGACTTTATAAATAATGAAAATAAAAGAAAACCTGCTAGATATATCATCACAGTCTGTGAAAAGTGTCCATAATCGGTGTAGAAAATCATTCAAATAAGTGCACAGTAATGTCACTTTGTGTAAAAAAAGGTCAATAAAATGAGCAGAAATGTGTGTAAACAGTATTTCTGATTATCCAAAATGCACGTACTGTCTTCCAATGGATATCTAGTTAACCTGTCAGTCTTTGGCAGATCCAGTGTCTAGTTCTTTCTCAGAACTGCATCAAACTGGTTCTTGTTAATCATGATTTGGTTTCTAGGTGAACTGGTATGTCTCTAAACCTGTATGAGATGCATAAAGTCAATCAGTCATGTTTGGCTGCATGTTTGCATCAGGCGGTCAGTGAAGGGACTATTACTGAAGTGACTGACTTCAGCGTTTCCAGTGCAGACGGCATTTATTTAGAGGCTTTCATCTGTATTCGGTCACGGATGTTGAATCTGGAATGGAGGAATACATCAGAATGAGCTGTACTAGAGTGGATCATGGGGCATTACACTGATGCAGGCTAATGCAGAGTGACGGCCGCCACCATAAACGGAAGACGACAGTGACGCCACGCTCTGAGCTCGTGGGTGTTGGTAATAAGATGTGTTGTAATTGAAACAGATGGTTATGAACTTTGTAAACCCCTGGCTCTCCGCAGCACGCAGCACTCCAGGATACAATATCTGAGGTGATGGATGCTGAATTCTGCTCTTCTGTCTGCACGGATTGAGGATGCATCAGAAATGAGCGCGCGCTGGTGGCCAGACATACCTTACGCTCAAGTGCTGTGGCGTATTATGGTACAGTGATGATATTTCCACTCCAAGATATCATGGTATCCAAAAAACATGGTATTTCCGCGGTGCATTTTTTTGTTGGTGATATAGATTTGACTTTTTTTTTCTTTTTCGAAGAACAAACTGTGTCGCTAAAGTCATTCTTAAAGTGATCTGATTATTAGAATAATTTTATCATGCTGCTTTGTGGTTGCTAGGGTGTTCTGGGTGGTTGCTAGGGTGAGTCCCACTTCAAGTTTCTGTGACTTTCCTTGTTCAATGTGTGTGTGTGTCGGGGTTTTTTCCACTTGTTTATCATCCAGCTGGTGAAAATTGTGCATCTGATATATATATACATATATATATATACTGTATAAGAGAAAGAGTCTGAACACAGAATCCGTATATAAATAAATGTTTTTTTTTACTAATCTTCCAATTCCATACAGTTTTGATTGCATTCTTTTTACATTTTCAAAAGTCAAAATAATATTTGTCTTATGAAAAAATGCATTTGACAATTCAATGATTGGCATGTAGACAGTGCTGTTCCATTTAAGCATTTGGTTGGAATTTAGTTTATATAAAATAACAGGATGAAAACTTTAATTGTATTAATTATTATTATAGTTTTATTGATTATTTTAAGAAACTGTAATGTCATGGTGTTGCTAAGATGTTCTAATTGTTTTTAGCATGTTGCTATGTGGTTGCTATGGGTGTTCTGGGTGAGACTGGTATGAGACTGATATATGTAGAGTTTGTTCACAGAATCAGTATAACCGTATACATAGCAATTTTACACTTATGTCTTCAAATGTATTACAGTTTTCACTGCATTCCATTTACATTCCATTAATTTCCAAAGTCTCAATAGGCCTATTTTTTGCTTTTTCTTATAGTTCTTTTTGATTTGCATGTAGATGATGTGGTTATGTGGATACATTTTTTTTAAAGCAGGAATTTATTTTATATAAAATAACAGGTTGATAATCGAATGTTTTTTTTTAGGTGTTTTGATTTATGTTTATATATTAAATGAATTTATTTGTTAAAAAACTGTGATGCTAGGGTCATTGCCAGGGTGTTGCCAAGGCATTTTTTGTAGCATGCTGCTTTCCGTACCCACTGTATATATATATATATATATATATATATAAGAGAAAGAGTCTGAACACAGAATCCGTATAAAAATAAATAAATATTTATAAATTATAAATATTTTTTTTTACTAATCTTCCAATTCCATACAGTTTTCATTGCATTCTTTTTACATTTTCAAAAGTCAAAATAATATTTTTCTTATGAAAAAATGCTTTTGACAATTCAATGATTGGCATGTAGACAGTGCTGTTCCATTTAAGCATTTGGTTGGAATTTAGTTTATATAAAATAACAGGATGAAAACTTTAATTGTATTAATTATTATTATAGTTTTATTGATTATTTTAAGTAACTGTAATGTCATGGTGTTGCTAAGATGTTCTAATTGTTTTTAGCATGTTGCTATGTGGTTGCTATGGGTGTTCTGGGTGAGACTGGTATGAGACTGATATATGTAGAGTTTGTTCACAGAATCAGTATAACTATATACATAGCAATTTTACACTTATGTCTTCAAATGTATTACAGTTTTCACTGCATTCCATTTACATTCCATTAATTTCCAAAGTCTCAATAGGCCTATTTTTTGCTTTTTCTTATAGTTCTTTTTGATTTGCATGTAGATGATGTGGTTATGTGGATAAATTTTTTTTAAAGCAGGAATTTATTTTATATAAAATAACAGGTTGATAATCGAATGGTGTTTTAGTTTCTTAGTTCTCAGAAAGTGTTTTTTTTTTGTTGTTGTTAAGAACTCAAGAATAAATGCTCTTTTCGAGGCTTAAAACGGTTATTGTGCTTCATCAGGCTGTAAAACACGTTTTGATCCTTTGTTTAATAGTGTATAAGCTCTCATATGGTGTGACAGTATTTCTTTTTTGACGCTTGGCCTTTGTTTACCTATCTGTAATAGTAATAGGCCCAGAAATGTGACTGTTACTAATACAGATGACAAATACAGTGGTCAATGAATTAACAGAGTAGTGCAGCAGCAGTTTTTTCACATTAAGCCCAGGCTGTTCATTCTGCCAAGGCAATTATATTCAGCACCGAAGCAGACTGGTGAGATCCGGGGCCGGTTTGTTGGCTCAAAATCGGCCTGACAATCACGTCTAAACACTCAGTGTCTGCACTGAGCATATCAGGAGGGTTTCCCTATCTGATCTCAGGTCAGAAAGACTGACATCCCCTACTATGTTATCTTTACTTCCAGGTCGTTTATCATTGCTGAAAGCTGGTCCGGATGCATTGAAGTGTTCAATTTAATCATGACTGTGTGGCTGCTAACTCTTGGTGGTGTCGTGCGCTTTATGATAAAACTGAGTTGCCACCAGAGTGTGGCGGAAGCTTAGTCATAATTGTGAAGTATGTCGCTGTGTCTTGCTAAAAACGGCCAGCAGAATCAATTAAAGAGCAGGAAGAAAGGAGATGGCAAGCGAAGGATCTAGTTTGGCTGGATTTCAGCTCCTTGGGAAGTGGGTCATGCTGAAGAATGATAACATGAGGGATAAACCTCGTCCTTAAAGGTGAAATGTACACATTTCTAATGTTTAAATAGTTGCCAACAATATATA